TGACGCCAGGTCACGGCCTGGGATTGCAGTGCAGTCTAAACTTGAAGGAGCCGGCCTTCCCAAGAACTTTCACCAAATCTGAACGAGAGGAACTTAAAAACAGGAAGCGAAACGGACACCCGGAAGGATATAGAGACCCCTGCCGTAGGAGCAAGACCGCTCTTCTTCAGTAGTCAGTAAACCGCTGAGAGATAGTTCCACGAAGCAATAGGCGCAGAGATCCATAACAAGAGCAGAAGGCTTATTAGAGCACTGAGAATCCACAAACTAATGGGGTGTATACCGTGTGTCGATCTTGAACAAGTCTCCTGACCCGTATGCTTAACAAATATCACCCCAAAACCTGGGGAGGTGGCATATCCACATGGATGACTAGAGCCTGCGGGAGCGACTGTAAAGAGGCAACAGGAACCATCGGGGCAAACCCGTAAAGCCCAACTCAAAACAAAAGTAGCTGGCCAAACACAAATCAACTGGAAAACTGGAAAAACGGAGGCTGAAAGCCTGCTGGCGTGGCGGATCATTGGGTCCCGTGCCGAGGCTTCCTGTGTGCCGGGGAGGCCGTGGGACTGGAAGTGTCCATAGAGGCCCCTGCAGGGAGTCTTGGAGGTGTCGAGGGGACCGTCCGGCGCCGTCGTTGAGCAGGGCTAGGCCCGCTTGTCGCACCATCTTCAGCTCTCAGATCTAGGGCACGTGGCAACCACATAGACCCGTTCCAATCGGGTAAGGCAATCGGAGGATATCCAAATCAGAGCAAAAAGATGGCAGTTCCTCAGGAACTCGCAGGTTGAAATTACGGCCATTCACTTGAGCAGAAAGGCAGAACGGAAACCGCCATCTATAGGGGATGTTGCGCATGCGGAGAGTATCCAATAGGGGGCGCAGCGCCCGCCTTTGTCGCAGGGTCAGATTGGATAGGTCCTGATATAGCTCTATCTCCGCCCCCTCATAGGCAAGGTGTCTTCTCCCCCTGGCGCATTTGAGGATATCCTCTTTAAGCGGGTAACTTTCGAGACAGCAAATTATGTCCCTGGGAGGGTCTGTGTCTCCCCCCCTAGGGCGGGTCGCCCGGTGTACACGTTCAATGGCAATCATGGTTGAAGGTGGGCGACCTAGGAGGTCATTAAAGATAGCTATTACCGCTTTAGGGACATCACAAGGTTCCACTGATTCAAGAAGGCCCCGGACCCTAATATTGCGTCTGCGTCCACGATTGTCTAAGTCCTCAATGTGTCTATAAAAATCTCGAATGGTCGACACGTGCAGCGCGGATTGTTGTTGTAGAACAGAAATTGCGGCCTGATTCTGCCTAGTATCCAGCTCCACCCGCTCCACCCTTGTGCCCATAGAGCGGATGTCATCTCTCAAGTCAGTGAGGGCAGAGGTTAATGTGGTGGTCAAGGTGGATTTTATGTCAGCTGCCACAGTCTGGAGGTCCCTTAATGATCGGGAATGTGTAGCACGTGAGGAATCCAGCTGTGGCACTGTGTCCAGCACAGCATATTCGGCTGTGCTTGCAGAGCCTGTGTCAGAGACTGCAGAGGGAGGGGGAGAGGGGGGGGGATGAAGCTGGAGGAGGAGAGGGCTGCGGCCCGTCTTTCAGCTGGGAGCGGAAGAGCTCCTTTATATGCCTCCCCTGTGTGTTCGGGCCCCGCGGGGACCGTGATCTGGCCCCAGAGGGTGCCCTGTCAGACTTCCCCATAGCAGAGGGGAGATGTCTCACCCGTCCGTGCAGAGCGGCAGCAAGGTAAGATCCGGCCGGCGGGAGCTCTATACCTATGCGGCCATCCTCACTCGCGGCTCGGCCACGCCCCCCGCCTGCATGATTTTATCAAAATGTGCACACATGGCACTACGACTGGGTGTTAGAAGAATGCATAGTTGTGAAGCCAACCTCCAGATTGCTTATTTACAGTTTTGCATACAAACTCTAAAAATCTGGATGTTAACTGTTTTCACTTAACCACTTGCCAGCCCCCCCCCCGCCTCCTGTGACCACTATGTCCACCGGATCACTGTTACTGGTAATTGGTAACCGGGTATCATATGACCACTATGACTGGTGATAGTGATCACATAGCAATGTAAACAACCTGTCATGAATAGCTTTCGATTCATAAACAGTTTGCTTACTGTTGTGATCTGTGACTGGCCCACAGCAGTCACATGGTACCTGGCTACCTGTACCGTGTGGTTAGCTTGGCCAATCACAGATCACAACCATAGGCAAGCTGTTTATGAATGGATAACCCATTCACGACCATTAAAGCTATTGTTTATACAGTGATCTTCACTGTATAAGCAATAACAATGTAAAAAAAAAATCCCTAATTGCTCCCCCAGAGTAGTACAGTGTCTCTGTGGTGACACAGAACTATTCTGATGACAGGGTGAAAAAAATTAAATTTTTCAGTCAGTATCCCTGATAACCACCAGACCTATGATGATATTGTACTGTACTGGTGACAGTATGTAAAAGAAAAATAAATTGTTAAACACATATTTTTTTAAATTTCTTTTAGTTTTCAAAATATTCTGACAAAAAAACTACGACTACAAAAAACTCATCATGCCTTTTACTAAATACCTCAAACTGTGTACATTTTAGGGCTTCAAGAATTAGGCCATCGGTACATCAGAACTGATCAATTTCAAATATTGCATCCATAAATTATGGTATACATATAACTTTCACACAAACTAATTAAGATACACTTATTGGGATTTTTTTTTTTTTTACCAAACGCCTGAGGGCAGCCTGAGATCAGCATAAGGCCATTGGACTCTGGGGGAGGCTTACTTGCCCATCACTGCCCATTGAACTCATCTGACTCTGAAGCACAGGAAGCACCTCTCAGGGGGCTTTTGGGTGGGATCCAATTGGACGATGCCACCGCAGTGGCCTCTGTCACCTTCCAGGGCGGCTTGTGAACTGAGACAGCAGCTCTGGAGGCTTCCTGCTTATTGAGGTGAGTGGAATGGTATGTTCTGGCCTTCCCTGCTTTGCACATTCCTGGCATGTAAACTTGGCAGGCAGACTGCCTCAGTCCTCAGGTGTTTGATCAGAGGTAGGGGCCACTGCGCCCGAACAGGTTTTGTCAGATCTGCCTACCATGGGGTACCCCACGTGTGAATCTTCTGGCATCCTGCCTCACAGGAAAGAGCCACGGTCTGTCGAGCGTGCAGGACCCCCTGGCGGATAAAACGGATGCACTGGTATTGTCTCATTTAAGCCTTTCCTCCTCTCAGACTGCTCCCTCATCCGCTGTGCGGGCTCACAGGATAGGGGCCGAAGGGATTTTGATTGCTCTGGTAGTTCCACACTGGTCTGTGATACGCCAACATGATGTAGCTGGTCACGGACGCTCCCTGGTGCTTGCCACTTTGGGAGGCCCGCCTGTCCTGGGGTCAGTTCTGCCTCCCTGCATTACTATCTCTGGCCTTCATGGCATGCCCTCTGAAATCTGGCTTTGAGAGACAAGGAGTTGTCGGGCTTGTTGGAGGACAATGTTGGAGGCTTGTAGACCTACCTCTTGGCAGGTATGTCTTTGCACCAGAAAGTCTTTTATTGCCGGGTGCAAGGCTCTGTGTGTTCATCCACATCTCATCTTGCTGGCTTGGGTGTTGGCTTTTCCTCAGTGGGGCATTGCACAAATGAACTTGCCTGGAGTACCATAGGGGTCCACTTTCTGCAATTACTGTCCTCCCTTTTTTTTTTTTTTTATTCATGGTCTGTTAGCCACTCACCTCCTGCCTCACACCTCTATCAAGGGTTCTGGTGCTCCCCAGTACTACAGCGGGACATGAAGTTGTTTTTTTTTTTTTGGTTCTCCAGAAGCCTGTCTTTGGAGTGTATTGAGTTAATCCTCTGCTTACTCTTCCTCAAACTGTTGCCTTGGTCACCATCGCTTCTGCAAGGTGGGTGTCTAAGCAGCCGGCCTCGTCTTGTAAGTCTCCCTATTTGGTCCTACACAAAGATGGGGTGTTTCATCTGGGTTTTGGTTTTCTCATCTGAATGAGGAATTGGTCTGCCTTTTTTGTATCCATGATTGTCGCCTCCTGAGGAGGTTACGTTGCATCTTTTGTCCGGGTGGGTTGTGTGTACTTGTCCACTGTAGCCTCCTGCAGGAGATCAGGCTCATTTTATGCTCATGGACAGCCCAAGGCAAGGCCTGGCAACCTCCTCTGGCACAATTTGCTGTTTGATCCGGTAGACATTTGTTCAGGCGTATACTTTTACTGGGCAGGCTCCTCCCTTCCCCATTGAGGCATACTCCTCTTTCAGGGGTTGGGTATCTGTGTCTCAGGTTTGCAAGGTGGCTACCTGTTCAATGCACATTTTTACAAATGTTTCCAGAGTTGATGTGCTTGCCTGTTTTTGGCCTTAGGTTTGCGGGCTGCTGTTTTCAGGTTCCTTGGTTGCTTAGGCAGGGTTGTTTAGGCAGTTTGGATGATTGCCTGCTTACTCCACTTGCTTTTTGGTTTGTCCACCCCTCGTTGAGGCACTGCTTTGGGACATCCCTATGATCAAGATTCAAAACAGCTGTATCCGTCAATGATTGTAAGAGAAAATTAGATTTTTTTTGTTACTCACTATAAAATCCCTTTCTCTGAGTTTGACGAATACAGCACCTATCTCTGTATTGAAGTTTATGCTTTTGACACTGCTCTGACTAAATAGCTTGCCTATAGCAGAGAGGGGGGTTTATACCAGCTAGGACTACCCATAGGTGGCGCTGTTTCTTTTCTTTTCCTAGTGTCCTACTAGGTCTTGTAGGTGGCGATATAACCCTGATATCAAGATCCCGAGAGCTCTGCCTGTCAACTCAAAGAAAGGGATTTTACAGTGAGTAACAAAAAAAAATCCCATTATTTTAATATATGATATATTTTAAAATGTATTTGTTATACAGTTCCTTATTTTTAAAATGTATAGTAGTTGCTTATAATGTATGTTTTTTAATAATGTACAAATTACTCCATTTTTGTTTTCTTCCTAGAATGTGAATTGCCATTTTATGCCTTTGGACACTTTTGCATTACTTACTGCCCTTCAAAATATTTCAAGACATTGCAGCCTATTCGGTCAAATGAAAAATTGTCTGTGATTCTTCAAAGTGCCCGTACCTGTGCTCCTTGTCACTATTCATGCTACACCTGCAGGGGACCCTCTGCTAATAATTGTACTGCCTGCCCACTCTTTTCTTCATATAATGAAAAAGAACATTCCTGCTCACAGCCTTCCTATCCAGGGATAGATCTCAGTACCAGTAAACCCGGGGAAGTCTTAAGTTTTGCCATAATTATAGCCATGGTTTTAGGAGGCATGGTGTTCTTGGTCTGCCTTGTTTCTTCACTTTTCCTACTGTTAAGCAGAATACGTGTCTACAGATTCTCATCCACTAATTTGTCACACACCCCTGGCCTGGAAATGTGCAATCTCCAAAGTTAGGGTGATGCATCTGCTGTTGTGCAGAGACATAAACTACAGTAAAGACTTCATCTACTGTGAAGCAAGAGACTATAAATCCCTAAATATAAATTTACATTTGGCATGAGGATAATCACTTAAATACTATGTAAATAAAAATGCAAATATATTTATGTCTAGAATTTCTATAATATTTTGTCGCTTCTTGTAAAGCAAACTCTAGGCAAAATGTAGCTGAAATAAATATCTAGTGTAGCCATTTTGCCTGTGAAAGGACTTGTAACAATTTTCAGCTAGAGCCAGAATGATGACCAGTCTATTCTTAGTTAAGGAACCACTTTGCCCCTAGGTTATTAAGAGTAGTAGGAGACCATTGAGGTTGTCCCCTGCTCACTCTGCTCTTTTTTTAACAGAAAGTTCCTTGTTACTTGTGCATGCAGCACACCTGATTGACTCCCTTTCCAGTTTGACTGCTGCTTTAAAATTTTTTTTTTTTTTTTTTTTTTTTCCAAGAAATTTTTATTGAGATATGAAAGGCATAACAAGACATAAACAAATACGGATCGCAGTCCGTGCAAGTCTTTAAGCATGTTCTCCCGTAACGCAGACGGGTCAGGACATATAAGTAAATCGTAGCACAATCTGAAATACAGTCCTAAGAGGAAGGCATAGCATATACCCATAGCAATGATGTTAGCAGTATGTAATATATAGAAAGACGGGGTACAAAAGTCCTTGTGTAGGGAGAACTAAAGAAACAGGACAGTGAGGTATATAACAATAGTCGTGTCAACTCAAGGCATATATGTCTTAGGATTCCGTACCTGAACATTATAGATTAGATTTGAGGAGTATTGTTACACCTGTGTGTCTGTAAGTACTCTGTACCTTATGAAAAATATAGTTAGTTAGAATATGGTAAAGAGGTGAAACTGAGAGAAAGAAGAGATGGGAATGAGACGAGCAAGGGAATGGAGGAAGAGTATGAGGAAAAATATCATAGTGGGGCGAGGAGGGACATAGGGGACAAATACAGAGGAAGAGAGAGAGAGAGAGAAAAAAAAAAAAAAAAAGGGGAAAAAAGGGGGAGGGGGGGGAGGTGAATGGGGGAAGGATGAGTTATATAACTAAATAGGCATAACCAAACCAGACATATCAGTTAGCAGCTTCCAGGCTGAGATAGATTCAATCATTACTTAGAAATACAATTTCGTTAAAGTCCCGTAATGTAACTATTCCTGAGGTGAACGTTCTAGGGGTTTCCGTGTCACCAAATCTCCTCTCGCTCATTCCTTCATTAGACAATGATAAGTATCGGTAATTTGGAAATGATTCCAACACGCCCAAGTCTTCCTGAATCTCTCGGGGTGTTCTTTTGCCACTGAAATCAGCTCCTCCATCTCTGCGATCCTGATGATCCTAAGAAACCACTCTCGCACGGTGGGAACGTATTCCGATCGCCAATGGATCGGAATACACTGTCTTGCCGCATTCATCATGTGTAAAGCAAGCGACCTACGATAAGTCCGCACAGAAAGTGAGGAATGATGAAGTAGACACTGTGCTGGGGTAAAGTCTAGGGTGTATGTAGTTACTTGTGTGATTATGTCCAAAACTTTTCTCCAGAAGGGTTGCAGCCGCGGGCAGTCCCACCAGATATGTAGAAGAGTACCTGTTGCCCGGGAACATCTCCAGCATAGATCTGAAGCGTTAGGATCAAATTTACGAACCACAGATGGAACTCTGTACCATCTGGAAAATAATTTATAATTGCCTTCTTGTGTAGAGACACAAATGGAGCCTTTATGCATATGATCGTAAATGTGGTCCCAGTCCTCTGGTGAGATTTGAAGTTGTAGGTCACGTTGCCAGGCTGAACAGGTCTTCCGCGAATGAGATGTGTTAGTA